CCATGAAGGCCTCTTCAAATTCTTCCCAAGTAGGCGGACCATCATCTTCATCTCTTTCCTTTTCCCACATCTCAAACCAAGCGCCAGCCACATCTCTAAGCTGGTAAGCAGCCAAGCTCCACAGCTTCATCATCAAATGCTTTAATCACTCGGAGGGCTTTCTTCACACCCTCCAGCCACAACATTGGATCTTCATCAACTATAGAACCATGGAACACTGGAGGACTCAACTTCAAAAATTCATTCACTCTTGAGGACTCAGAATTGTTCTGTCTATTTGATTGAGGTGAAATCTCATCTCTTCTCTCGTTCTGGTTGGCCATGAAGGCTTTAAACATCTCCATAGCACTGTTGACTACATTAAACATCTGACTCACCTATGGAGATATAATTGTCTGAGCCGGAACTGTTGTTGGGGGCGGCACTGGATCCTAAGATACTGGATCATCATGCTCCACCCCTTCTTCATGTTCAACCCGGGGTACTTGAACCCCATTTGTATATTTACCCTTTCTTTTCTGAGTTGAAGCCTTTTTAGTTCTGCCTTGAGCCACAATAGTAGCAATAGTTTCTTGAGCAGCATCCTGAGTGTCAGTGTTAGAGTTGTGAGTATGAGCCATTTCTGCGAGTTTTGGAGAAACAAATACATTAGATAATTTCTTAGAGGTAGGATCTACTGCACGATCTAAAGTATGAGAAAATTGATACTTTTCCTATATGTTGGTAGCCTCCTGTTTATAAGTATGGCGCGCTTCATACCCGTAAACAAGACTCTACTAACATGGCTTCATAGACCCCTAGGACTCCATAAACCTGAGGCTCTGATACCAAGTTTGTCACGATCCATTTTTCTAAACAATTCGGGACCGGCACCCAATCACTAAACATGACCGACGAACCATCTGCGCTTATCAAATCTGTTATAACTTCAAACTTTATATGCAATAAGGCAACACTATAACCAAATACTTTTAATTAATTTAAATACCTACAATAAGCCAACTCCAAAACTTTATTCGTAGTAAACAATGAAATACTGCTAAGCTTTTATCAAAAACATCTGAATCTTATTCCACCGACTGTGTCTATGAAGCCTCTACTGATAAACTGACGCATTACTCAGGAAATGAGATTTCCTGGCCAGTTCTCTAGGTAAACAAAGAAATAGCTAAATAAAGATTACTCTAAGGAATACTCCACGAACAAAAGCGGAGCTCACCAATAGCACTGGAAGGGAGGGGAGTCCTAAACTGTAGCCTGCTCGCCTGCATAATCGGTTCCTACGTTGTACCGCAGACCAACGTAGGTTCCCAAAAGAGAACGTCAATACCATCCATTGTACTCATTGAGTCTGAACGACAGGGGATGAAACTTTAATACAATACACATTACGAGCAAAGAATCTAAATGCATAGAAAATATAAAGCCTCTAAGAACAATTCTAAAATAATTGCACAATAGCAGTTTATGAATCTTCTAAAAGAAATTCTTTTCTTTTTCTTAAAAAAATTACTTCTCTTTATATTTTGAGAGTTCCAACTATCCTGACCTGTTTCTGTCTTAGTCACCGTGTGACCGGCACAGGTTCGATCCCAACCTGATCGAATAGGCCCAATCCACGAGGTGCCACTCGCTTCATGGTCTCAGCGCTCATGTATCATACCTTAGCTTAGCTAAGTAAATTCTCAGCAACGAGACCCTCGGCTCGTGTGCTCCCTACTTTGGCACAAGTAGTTTCAGGAAGTCAACGTTTTGGTCAGGACCCTCGGCCTGGACGATGACCCCTACTCAGAATAAAGGATACTCCCAAAAAAATCTCTTCTTTCTAAAACTTCTTCTTGTGACTTTTCAACTCTAAATCTTTTCTTTTTGGAACATCATGTACATGCTCATGCTGGTATCCTTAAATGTAAAGCATGGCATAAGAATGAAATAAACATCTAAAAGTATTTCTAAAGATTCTTGCTTCTTCATAAATTTTCAACATGAAAATAGCATATAAGAATAACACAAAAATCTGAAAATTTCTGCACATATATCATAATAAATCATCTTAACTTTTGCTAGAACAATTCTAAGTTAATAGGTACTCACTCGGTCCAATTAAGTAAATATAAACTCTTTTAAGCAATTCATCAAACACCTTGTATGCGTGCTTTTGTGAGTTAAACCACTTTAGTAAAGAGTTATATCAACTCACCTCAAAACTCCTTGAGCCAATACGTAGACCCCAGTCCAATTTATACCCGTCAAACAATTGATTCTACAACAACCAGTGCATTTTAATTAATTTTAAAGTTTCACACCTAAACATGGGATTTACTATTGATACAGAGGAAGAAGGGAATTAACTATTCAATTCTTACCTATTACTACTGTAGAATAATTGACAATAGGGAATTTTATATACCTGAGTTCAAGAATTTGTGATTTGTAAAGAATCCTAAATTTTTTTTCGTTGACTGCGTGAGTCACTGCCTCTGTTTCGTAGCCTTTGTGCTTGCTGCGTGAAAGAAACAATGTTCTGTTTCTCTATTTAGAATAAGGCTTTTTAGCCTTCACGTGAATGCACAGAAGTTTGTTCGTATAAGCCTTTTAAGCCTTGAGCCCTTTTTTTAAATCTAATTTGTTCAAGGCTTTAAGCCTTTTGAAAGCTTTTCCTCTTTTTTTTCTCTTTTTCTTTTGTAAACTTAACTATTAATTAATGATACCACTATTAATAATTAATAATACTAAAATTATTAATATATTATTAATATTCCTCTAATTGTATATTCAATTATTTAAGTGTGTGTGTATATATATATATATATATATATATATATTTCAATATAGGCAGGAAAAATAAAAATAATAATAATAATAAAAAATTAAATTCTATAATTAGGAGTTGTACACATGACTAGCCTATTAAAGCAAGACTGAAAGTAAGAGATGGAAAGATGACTACAAAAACAATCAAACCACTCAAAAGATAGAGCTAACTGAAAAATTCCCTTTTTTCATAGGTGAGAAATTATACACTCTTGAAGCAGTTGATATTGCATATATAACACGGCTGATCTCATAATATCATTAAACCTGCTACCAGTAGAACCTATCATTCGTTAAAGCAGAGATCGCTGTATTAGGTGATACCCTTTTTTGCTTGAGCCCGACCGGGTTGGGTCCGGACCGGAGCAAATCGGGGCCATCAAACCCGACCTGGATGCAAGGTAGAACGACGGCCACGTCTACAACCGAGGTCGAGTCATTTCGAGACCGTTACAGAGCTCGATAGGAGTCACCACCGGATGGAGAAACACACAAGGTCGAAAGCCGGACTCGTAACGGATAACCAAGCGTCGCCGGATATCTCGCCCAAACGTGATTTTCTCAACCACTTCAGGCCATTAAGGCGTAATTACAGGGATCCACGATGTAATCAATTGACCTACCTTATTTTTACCCTTAATCAGAATGTATAAAGGGGGATCTCTCTAAATTCTTGAGGAGGATCAAGCACAATTGTTCTAAGCAATATTATATTCTGCGATTATTTACTTTAACAGCAATTGTTGAGTCTTTATCTTTATTTTCCTTAACCTAAAAACCTTTTGTATCTTTTAGTTCACGGATCCTTAAAACCCCATATAAATTCAATTGTTATCCGGATTCGAGGGTAAACAATCGCGTTTTATACAAGATCATGCTAATTAGCCCGAGGAAATAAAAGATGAAAGACACTCTTAGCCAGCTAGTATAATATGAAGAAAATGCTGTTTCTTGCTTCTCTTTTTTATGAAGAAAACTAATTTCATTGAAGTGAGAAAATCTCCTGTACACAAGAAGTATAACAAAAAGTAGAAAATTTACACAAACATGTTTCTTGCTTTCTCTGGCAGGTCCAAATTGTTATTGGTCCTTTCTGCTAGATCGATACTCTTGCTTGGTAAATCTATCTGATCTGTGCTTTGCTTATAGGGTTTCTCTCGCTTTTCTGTACTTGTTCTAGATTTCTCCTTCTGGTGTTTGCATGGCCTGTGTCTACAATCTCTGCTATTTCGATGTTTCAAGTTTATCTATTTGGTCCGTACTTGGTGCATTTCCATTTTTAGAAACCGTAGATTTCTCAACAGCTGATAAGAACTTCTTCAGATGTTTTATGTATTCGGGGTAGAGCTCCAAATCACAATGGTTACCACCTTCAACCCACAACGGGTCATATTTTTGCTTACATAGATCAAACAGCTGCTTACCATGGGAACAATCCACAACATCATCTGCAGTGCCCTAGAAATTAATGTAAAAAAAGATCAAATGGGGATGTCAGCAAGAAATTCTAGAAGCAAGTGCCACCATAACAGTACTTGATTCTGCCCAAGGAGTCAATCCATCCAAACTATACAGGTCTTCTATCT